CATCACAAGAAGCCCAAAAGGACAGGGACACACAGCTAGACAAATGTTGCTTTAAAAAGTCATGTTAAATAAAGAAATGTGCTGCTCACAAAGCAAAACTCTCGAGCTAATAAGGACAGCCCGCTGCCCTACATCAAAGAGCTTCATGGGAGCTGGCCTTTCTTTTAATGAGCTTTTAACAATGCACGCTCTCAGACCAGACCAAAATATTGAATTCTAAGACTTTGTAAGAGTTACATGATCATTACAAATGAGTTCTTCGGGTTAACTGATGCCTCTGCTCATCCTGCAAAACACTGATCTGCATACACCCCAAAAAGGCAAGTGAACACAGTCAAACAGGCCAGGTCTCTGTCAAATTAAACACAGGGTTTTAGACTTATACTGCAGGATCACTCAGCCCAGTGAGCTTGCCTGTAACATGCGGCAGCACTTGTCAAGCTACAGGAGGTGAAAAGATCAAACACAATGAACCCAGCCGTGCCATTTTGCACGCCTGAGCACCATGCGTCCAACTCAAAAATGACAGGAGTGAGTGTATGTAGGGGGGGCTGCCTGCAGAAGTGTCTGTGTGTTGATGTTAAAATCTGAAATGACATGCAGATCGGCCCTATAACAAAAGCAGGCAATGGCAGTGTGCATTATTTACCTCACAGTGGGACAATTCCCTGTTTTCAATCCTGCCCCATAACCCCCATACCTGACCCGGGCCCTAACCCTTCCATCGCTCTTGCCCCCTAACACCAAACCAGCCGTTGTCCCTTAACCCCGCCATCTGTCTTACCCCCTAATTCTGACTCTGCCATCGCCCCCTAACCCCACCATTGCTCTCACCTACTAACCCTGACCCTGCCATTGCCCCCTAACCCTGCCATCACACTCACCCCCTAACACCGACCCCACAGTTCCCCCTCACACTGACCCCAGTCACCCCAAACCCTGCAATTGCTCTTGTCCCTAACCCCAACCCCAGTGACTCCCTAAAACTGCCATCACTCTCAACCGCCTAAAATAGGTAACACTCTCACCCCCTAAACCCACCATTTCTTTTGCCCCCTACCCCTAACTACAGAGTCCTATATGATGAACAGAAATAGAACAAATTCATTCACAAAGTGATAGGAAACTTCAGCCTAGTCAGTGCAAGAGCTTTTATCAAAGCCTGTAAGATTCACATTTCTTCACTGCTCTTATAAAAAGGATAAGTTGTCCCTTCGTGTCCATTCTCTCCAGAAGATTCTCAGCAGGGTCAAACATGTTACTTCTTGGTGAGGTACTGACCATGTTTAAGAGTTACTGAGCATTAGCAGGCATTCTGTTGTGTTTTAAATATAGGGTAAGATTACCAGCTGGTGAAAAAACAACCAAACAGATGACTGGAGATGACTAACCTGCACCAATGAAAAGATCTTAGTGCTGAGAGTGACATTCATCCGTAGAGCTCTTTACACAAAGCCTACATCAAAACACAGAGGAGGAGGGGGAGAAGCTGCCAGATCTGAAGTGCAGAACATCCTGTCTGTTTATATTGCTGATGAAGGAGCCGTAGTGATTATGCCACATCCCCCAGTGACTGGAGGAAATTAAAAAAAAAAAAAAAAAGAATTCACAGATGGGACACAGGCTTAAATGTGTTTCATCTGGGAGCCTGTGAGGAAGGTGCAAAACATTCTGCTAAAAGGAATTTCTTAATAAAATATAATCGTTACAGGAGGATTTTGTAAATACATCATTAACGCAGTAATTTTTAAATATATTAAAATATGACACATTTAGTAATTATTACCGTTTTTCCTGCTGTCATACCTACTTTATTTCAGTAATATTTTCACTAATATTAAATTCCATTGACACAATATGCATTCAGTGTTTCCCCTACCATTATATTAGGGGGGCGCCCCACCCCCCCTTGAAGGTCAAGTTAATTTAATTTAATTTTATTTTCTATATAGCACCAGATCACAACAGAAGTAATTTAAGGTTACCTTTCCTATAGAACAGGTCTATACATTGTCCTTTTATTAAACAAACTAAATAGCCTTATGTTATTTATCTTATTTACACAACAGCTTGTCATTTTTGTCTCTACACGGTCGCATGTTTACAATTCTCCTCTGCTCTCTGCATTGCGCATGGCGGAGTTCCTCCCCGATGCGCGCGCACAGATACATGCGCGCACACAAAGGTAAACACACTCCCACCATCAGACAGAGAGCATGCGTCGGAAAATATGTCGCACGAACCACCTGAAAAGCAGACAAAAATATCTGCGTTTTTTTGACTGCTGTCATTAAAAGAAACACATGAACTACTCATGGCAGCACAGGCACTCTGGAATGGGACAGCCATATACCATCAGGCTTAAAAAAAGTCATAAAAGAACTGCTTATAAGCTTCCCTTTTAGCAAGAGCATGAACTGCCCAAATACTATTAATTTTATTATTTACACTTTAAACTCAAAAGTAATATTCTTAAGACCTGTTCAAGTCAAGTCAAGAGATTTCGGAGCGCACAGAAAGGCGTCTGGCAGCGGCCGCGCCATCTTGATTATTGCCAGAGTCATTTGTGCCAATTGTTGCAGCCTTATCTGGCTTGTGGGTAAAATCTACATTATATGACAATCTCGCTGGATTAAGCACCAAGTGAAAGCTAGAGACAGCCAAGGCACAAAGGGAAAGTGGTGAATCATTTGTGCTTTGCCATTGTTATGCATATCCAAGTAGAGAGTTAATTAACCCAAAGCTTAAGCTAATTATGATAGCAGAGCACTACTAGCCAAGCAGTTTCAGCACGACAGCTGCACAGGGTGGCATTTGCTTCACATTTGTCTCACCCTTTACATATGGTAAGTTCTGGTGATATCAGAGCAACAAGCAGCAGCTAAAAATCATTCAATAAAAACAGGGTGCATCAAAGCAGGCACCACTGAGACACCATGTCAGAGAGACAACTGAATGAAAGCTGCAACAGGAATATAAATGAGGCTGCCAATGATTTATTTGTGGTGTTTAAACAGGCCCAGTCAGCTGAGCTGGCATCAACATTTCATTCAGAAATCTGATTTTGAACACGAGCACACCAGTGATATCTTCTGCTCAGTGACACGATTGGCGTGTGGAGTTTGACAGAAGAAAATAGTTCCTACATTAAATTGCTCATTACAAACTCTGTGGATTATCTTGAGTAATCGGGTCATGATTTCCCTGTTGAATTTTTCAAATGTATATTTTGGCACCACAGAAAGAATGCCATTCAGTCCCACTGACTAACTGAACACATCACATTTTTCTGGGAGGACTGTGAAAAGCTCTGTTCTGAATTCTGATTCATCCTGTATTGTCGTACACATCCATACACTTAATAAATACACTGCATACATGAGGAGTTCCCAAAGGAGATACCTGATCAGGACACTCGCCTATTTAGATAGATAGGTAGACAGACACTTTATTGATCCTGAAGGAAATTTACGCATCCAGTAGCTCAAATACAAACAGATACACACAATAGCACACACAATAATAGAATAACCCTCAAGATTGCAGATGTAGCTATGCTACATGTAGACAGATGTGTGAATTTTTAGTGCCAGTGACTAGCAGTTGGTTTCCAGCAATCCAAGGTGGCCCACATAAAAGTTGCCCCAATGTCAATTTTATCATTATACCTATACGGGCTACTTTTAGCCGCCCTGTACATCACAGTCCATACACTAATGTGTAAGCTTGTTTAGAATATTGTCATCAGCAATGCATTTTAAACTTTCAATCCGTGTTACTAATAATTTTAACAATTATAATGACTATTGACTAGATATATTTACATAATTGTTCAGAATAAAATGAATGAAGAAGACAAGTATATGGATTCGTTCTTAAACACAGTATCATTCTCATGAACCCTACCGCAACATATCAGTTTTCTCTAATTTTTTAAATTAGTCTGACAGACTCACATTACATTGTCTAAAAGTTCGATTTTGTCTCTGGGGTTGTTAACAAGTTGCGGAGTAAAACAACTGACAATGCAAAACAACTGAACAGAATGAACATCCATTTTATATTAATTGTTTATTGTGGGGCACTTGCAATAAAGTTTAAAGACTTAAAAACATTTTATCTAGTTTTGTTATTTGACTTTAAAAGTGCTATGATTGTACTTATTTGGGAAAAATAGTTGAGGAATCATTAAATCAGTGTAATAAATAACAGGAATCTAATATACCTAATATGTTAAGGTAATGTTAACTGCTCTGCACAAAATGAAACACTAACACTAAACACTATCCTTTTGTCTCATGCTTGTGAGAATGACACCAACGCTTTTCTGTGAATTAATTTCCACTTCAGTTTAACATGATCAGTGGCGCCCATCCAAGCAAAGTGGCATTCAAAGAAAAGCACGACACAGATCACAGTCCTTAATTGGCATGAAGACTGCTGACAAGCACACACACTCAATGTGTGAATTGAGTGAATTGTTTGCAAAGACAAATGTTTGCTGAGGGAAAATAAAAGAAAAAAAGCCAAAGTTTTGTTAAAATACGTGATGATGAGGTCCGAAAATGTGAAGATTTGACATGGAATGACCCCAAAACAAAATTGGCTGATGTATCATTTTAAGAAATGGTTTTTATACATTGTTTACTGAAGAACCCACTTGCCTCTGGCTAAATCTGAGAATCATACAGTAAACCAAATATTTTTTTTTTTTACTTATTAAAAGGAAGATGAATGCTTAACATACTACCTCCTAGCAATTTCATTAATTTTCAAAATGGTATATACAAATGCAAAACAAAAACAGTATTTTATTCACACTCTGCCCTTAAGAGTAACTCCAGCAGTTCTCAGCCACTCACAAAAATAACCAGAACAACAGAAAACTCTCTCCATAGATTTACAGCAATCTGCACACACTCCCACACAGAACCAATATAACCAATATACCAGAAAGCTCATGGTTCTGTTAACTAGACAGTAAAGATTTTCACACTCACCGCTTATCAAGGGTCCCATCTGAGTGGATGCTGATATTGTGGACTCCGGCTTCACAGCCACTAACCTCAATCCTCCCCAGGGGAGTCAGCAGCGCTACCATCTTTAGCGTGCAGGGATTTGGCCTCTTCATCTGGAGAAGAATGCATGAAGAAACCTGACCCAACTGGTTTCATTAACACACAGAGCTACACTATCCAGGATGCATAAACATACTGCAACAGGCAGGGGCGTTGCTAGAGATTTTGGGCCCCATGAAAGCATATCATATTAGGCCCCCCAGTCCAAACCAATCCAGTTATTTTCCTAATTTTTTAGGGCCCCTGTCACTCAGGGGCCCTTGGAATCGTCCTAGCTTTCCTCCCCCTTACGGCGCCCCTGGCAACAGGGTAAGAACAGCTTCAGTGTCCACTCTAAAATCCACCCTCCGCTTTTCAAGGATCATCAATAACATCCTAAAATTCAAGGCTTGGGAAAGACACCTGTTATCCAGTACACTCCCATTATCCACAATGACAAGGGTAATATTTACCTGAATTATCAGGTTTGTGCTTTGGGAATACAGAGCTTACTCTTAAAACTGGATGGAAAATGTACTAAAGCAGATGCAGTAAAAGCACAAAATGCATGTGTCAGAGTTATGCAGGACCTCCACATATGAATAACCACAGTTAACAGTAAAGTCAACAGCAAAATAAAAAGTATGCCAGCACAGCTGCTCAGCACTTGATACATGACACAATAGGAGAAATACTCCTAAATCTCCATGAATGCAACAACCACATACTACAGCATGACACTGTGGTGTGTATGATAGAAAACAATCACACGCATGGGCAATACTATTCCCCAACGGCTTCTCAATATGGCATTTCTAGACAACAGTCAGGATGTTTTTGTGGCATTAAATCCTTTATGCTGAGTGCTAGGACTAACCCCGGGAGATTCTAGCATTAGAGTAGCTCCTAGCAGTCATAAAAAAGATGTCAGCAAGTTAGAGAAAACATTTTTCCCAACACAATAATTTACAAAAGGTGGAGAAGCAACTGTCCCAGTAAATCCAAGAATAGACCTACGTGGCATTTATTTACATTCTGGAGAGATGGATAGGTAGGTAATGGAAGGAGGTCTGCAACACAACATAACATCAATCTTTTCATCCTCCTTCCAAACAGCAAGACACATCCAGAAAGCACTAAGCTACTGCATATGTGGACTCATTGTCGTGTAACTTTATGAAAACAAATTTTTAGTTAAACTCTTTCAGGCTGTGTGGATATCCGTAATTCAATTCTTCCTAGTCAAAAAGAGCATTTCAGATATCCACAATGGCATTCTTCCTATCCACAATTGTCATTTCAGATATCCACATCGTCATTCTTCCTAGGAGAAATCACATCACTTTAGCCATTCTTGTCTATTGGTTTAATGTACCAAAATAGTGACAAATAATCACCAAATTTCTCACACACATATCTGGTCATAGACTTTCACCTGACAAAAAAATCAAAACCGAAATACAAGGAATATGGACTTCATACAGTGGTACCTCGGTTCTCGAACTCACTAGAACTCGAATTTCTTTAAAGTCGAACAAACCAGTTTGACCTAGAACTCGATCTGAATATCAGAAGTC